GTGGGTCATTTCAGGCAGGGCTTAGCACAGCTGTGGAGCCAGTAGGTTCTTCATCACACCTGCTATTGAGCCCTAGCCCAAAATTTCTTCCTAGTAATGGAGGAAAACTTCTACAATAGTGGTAAAGGAAGAGATACAGACCCTGAGATGTACTCTGGTAACAGTGCTTGGGGGATGACTCCTACAGCTCTTAGATTCTGGTCTCACCTGTCTTTTCTTTCTGCTCTGTATTTAACGAAAAGCACAATTTCAGTTCAGCATTTGACACTGCTTAGTCAGTACTTCAACCCGGGGTGACAAACTCCTTATTTACTTGAAACAAGTCTGGGACCAGCTTCCTACAGGCAGCACTTTTCAGCAACACTTCCAGACAGTGCACTGTGCTGGTTCTTGAGGTGTTTTAAGGTAATGTTCTTGGGCCACAAAACTGAATGTTCAGTCCATGCTTCTGTACAGCATATCTGTCAGTGATACAGCTCTCATTCACTCAGCAGCCTGTCACATACCTTGTCTTTTCCAGCACACAGGCAGCAGCCAAGCAGCTTGTCCTTCTGCCCTGGTAAAAGTTGGTGGTAGGTTTTCTTACAGAAAGCCATTTCGAGGCATTCATAAATCCTTGACTTGCTCTGACTATGAGATTTAAGGGATACAATACATCACAGCTCCTCAGTTTCCATCTGCTTTTGTTTGAAAGGTGCCACACCATGCCTTGCCTTGCCCAAACCCTTCTACCCTTAAACTTTTGCTTTATTTTTAGCAAGGAAGACCCTTTATATACTTGAGGTGAACCATCTATCTCCTGAGAGGGGATGTCAGAATAACCCTCATCACCAGGGAGCTTTATCAGCCTTATTTGCACTGCAGGCACTAAAGATCCAGGTGAGCCTGGGGCTTCATTCGTAGGCAGCTGCAAGCTCTGTGTCTTGACAAATTAGTAGTTTAAATAAACAGAACAAAAAAGTACAAGCAGCAAAGTGGAGATGATTAAAGATCCTTCCTTCCTATTTCCAGGTACTGTCAGCTGCAAGCAACATTTTTGCACCCCAGTCTTTAACAAAATCTCCGTTGTTTCAGGGGCAAAAAGACGGACAAAAAAGCTGCGCGGCAGTCCCGTCTGAGCAGGGAGCAGCGTCCTGCTATTGCCACCTCGTGGGCCCTTGCAGCAATAACCAGGTAACCCAACACGTGTTTCTTCAGTGTTGCTTTCTCATCCCTATTGCAGCCTGCGGAGACCAGCAGTGCTGCTCTGGGCTTTTTGAAGGAAGCTATGAACCACGAAGAAGACCTGAGACATACCTACATCCTGTACCTGAGGTGTTTTCTGCTGCTCCCTGTACTGTCTGTCATAGACTGAAGACCAACGGTGGTATTTGCTGTGTATTTCACACTAGTGCCTGTGGTTCTATCATGCAACAATATAGAGGAGCACTCATTCCCACAGCAAGCAGCAAAAGGTGTAAAATGAAGAAACCAGAGTCCAGTAACTGGAGATGAACCAGGGGATCACTGCCACAGCCTCCTGGCCTTGACGCGTGGCTGTTGAGGCCCAACCTCTGCTGAATCCCTCCATGGACCCTCACTTGCTTACTAGGACACTTCTAAGGACTGTTTGGACAAGAAAGACATCTGCCCAGGTTTCCCAAATCCTGCTGCCTTCTACATTGGAACTCATCAGCGAAACCCCGACTGCTTAAGGGAAAAGAAGTTATCCTGGCTGCAGAGACTTTGTTGAGAGTCAAAGACTTTTTTTTCCTCCAACTTTGTTATTCCTTTGTTTTGTGATTATTAGTAATGTTGGTTCTGTGTTTTAACTGCTGCTGTGCTGCCCCAGCCCTTTTTCTTCATCTTCTCTGTCTTTGCTCCCTTTTCTCCTCTGGCTCAGCAGCCCTCTCACTCAGTCACACAAGCACAAGGTGATTATGATAACCACAGCTCATCATTTGCCTCTTCCTGGAAAACTGGGCCTCAGATTGCAGGCTTTAGCATCAGCAACTCAGCCTTTGTGAGATTTTGAACACTGCGGTAGGACAGGAGGCAGATTTCTTGCTGACAGTGAAGCTGCTGGTTGAATGGAAAGGCACTGCTTTTCCAGGGTGCCTTTCAAGATGTGCGTGCCTGGTTTGGGCAGAGGCAAAGGCAGAGCCGTGTTCAGGTGAGCGTCATGCAGACAGGAGGTTTTGCTTCCTGGAGACAGTTTTACCCTGGGCTACAAAAGGGCAGACACTGAGATGTGCCCTGCTCCTGGCAGAACGCAGCTCTTGCTGTATGGCAGTGCCATGCTGCCGTTCTCCTTTCATCCAGTCCCAAGAAGTCTGGATCCTTTTCTCATCTGCTTCACAGGGAAAGGCCCCTGTAAACTTCAGTGGGAATTTAGTAATCTATTTCACTGCTCAATTTTAACTTATTTTTAAACCAGGTTCTTTTGTGTTAGGAGAAATATGGACTTTCTACCGCCTGAAACAACTGTGGGAGCTGCTTCTTCCCACCCCAGCTCAAAGCACAGTCATATTCTATGGCTACAGGGATGTGTTTCTTGTGCTTCAAAGTCAATGTGAGTAGGGTTTATCCTTGTTATTGCACTTAATGTTTCTGACTTTGGAATGATTATGGGGTCTCCTCTGAATGCTTTATGGGGTAACAGAACTCCAGAAGAACAGGATTATTTCCAGCTGCGTAAATAGAAGATATTTTCATAAATCTTCAGACCATTGGAGTATCAACAACATTATCCTACACGGATTGTTATGACTTTGTATTTGCAGAATCATATGTTGAAGCTTAGACCTGTGCCTTCAACCTTATCTTCTGCTGAACCAGGGACCTGAAGTAATCCTACAGAGGATGCTTCAACTAAACAAACTCTCAGAGCCCTGCTGGAAGTCCTCTTTAGTCAGCCATGGTGAAGAGCACGTTACTTTGATCCCCTCCATTTCCTTGACTGGGAATCCTGCTCTCTGAGAAGGGATTAATGTCAGGGCTTTTACCTTCTTTCTGTCCCTTATGATCTTAAAGTGTGGATGACAGGATGGAAAGTGAGATTGTTGTTCTTCCTTCAGGAGCCCTACTTTTTGGTCAATGATTTCCCCTCTCCCCTGTTATATCCCAGCACTTTGTGAAGCTTTCCCTTGTGTGATAAACCAAATAGCTTACACCTCAGCAGACGTGCTGCTTTGGCTTTACACTGCTTCTGCCACAAGTTTGCAGCAGAGATGTGGCGTGGAAAAACCTCTGCTGGCTGGGTTAAGCAGCCACGCACGTAACCGAAAACCTGCAAGTTGCAAGCAGGATGGAACACAAGATGGGCAATGGGCATCCAAAGAAATGCTCCAAGTTCCTCACCCAAGGTGTGCCTCAATCCTGCAGCACAAAGCAGCTGGTTGTTGCACGTGTGAGCAACAAGAACATCTGAGCTGTAACTTCATGGTAACACCCTTCCTCCTTCAAAATGTGTTTCAGAACACAAACCTGCCTCTGCTTTGTAGCAAAATGGGAGAATGATTTCCCTGGGCTGCTGGCTTCGTAATCACCTCTCAAGTTTTTGGCACTGGCTGCTCTCAGAAATGGGTGACAACTGCTCTGGCCATGTTTGGTAATTTCTGTAAAGCAGAAGCAACATCGTGCAGAAACATGGAGACAGAGTGAGGAAATGTTCTCCACTACGGAGCTGGAGAAAGCAGCCTTTAAATGAATTTTTCATTCCTACTGTAAGAGAAGTTTACGTGACGAGTTGTCAAACCCTCTGCTGACATTTCTCCTTCTTCAGAAGGAAAGATCACCTCCCTTGCCAAGGTGCTGGTCAGTCACATGCCACTTTGCTGTGTGATACACACTGCTTACTCTCTAAAGCATGGGCAATAGCTAAGTTTTGTTATTTTCATACATAGAAATCACTCTCTCAGTGGAAATACAGATGTCCCATCTGTCAAATCAGAGGTGTTTACCTTCTGACTGCTAGGTCCTCACCTTGGGCAGCCAAATCTCAAACCCTACATGCAAGAAACAAAAGCTTGGCTCATGTAGCAGAGATAGAGCAGGAGGGAGCCTATAAAGCTTACTGGAAAATGAGAACAGACATTTTCAGTGATTTTGAACACGACCAATGAAATCAGCTCAGAGATGCATTCTTGGCTCCTTTGCTGTTCTATGTTGAAAGGCTCCCCAGCTCTTGGGCAGCTATCAGCCATCAAACCACCTCTCTTTGGCTGTTTTACAACCAGGCTGTGCTCTTATCCTCAGCATGGACCTTCATTTCTGCCTGCTGATTATCTGTTGTTCTTCTAGCCCACAGCTGAGGGAAGTGCCTGTGGAGATGGTGTTTTTCTTTCTAAATCAGCAAGATTTTTTTTATTATTATTATTATTCTCCACAGTTTGCAAGTTGCTTGTAGCCAAAACTCACAGATCTCTGCTTGATTTGATTTCTATCTACTTTGTTCTTACTCATAAACTTAAAAAAAAAAAAAAAAAAAAAAAAAAAAAAAGACTTCAGATAAATAATAATAAATCCAAAGTATTCTGCCACAGTTCATTATCTGGGCTGAAACACCTTCCCTTATGTTTGTCTGCAAAGAGAGGCATGGGAAGAGATGGCAAGTCAGAGCCTCTGATCTTTCCAACTAGGGAGACAGAAATGGCAAGAACAAGAAATATGGAACAGCTCTTCAGCTGGCACTAATTATCACAGCTCCCTGCTTTCAGCAGAGCTTTTCTGCTTTTTTCAGGTTAAGATCCATGCCTGAGTTATCTGAAGTGTGCTTCCGACCAGGCTTTTGGGCAGCGGTCCCACTGCAGCCTAACTTAGTGATAGCACCTCAAACTGTGTACGAACATAAGGAGCAAAAAAGATTCTGGTCATGTCTGCATTTATCTCTGTATTTCTCAAATGCACATAAATTCAAAATCGGTCCTGCTGTGCACAATAACAAGAAAATGAGGAACGATATAAAAATGCTGGCATTATAGAGAGTAGAGTAGCTCCTGCTGCACACAAGATCACTGTCAAGTTGAAGCATAAATCTTGAATGATAAAAACAATGACATAGCCATTAGATTTGCTTCCTCTCCATTTATGAATTGTCCAAAAAAAGAATTCTCCAATTTACCTGTAATTAAAACATCACTTAGCAAATGCCTCTATCTGTGCCATAACACACTTGCCCAATTTGCCATGTGGGAAGGAAGCTTGACTTGCTGTACATCCTGCAAACTTGCTCTTAATCTCTGACCTGCCAGGTCAGAAAGCCCATTTAACAGTCACTGTTATCCCTTAAGAGGTGGGTGGATTGTCCAGCTGCTTGCCAGGCCTGCTCAGGAGCAAGATTCTTCCTACAAAAGTGGTTTGAAAGCCTTTCCCAGCCTGTGGAAAAAACTTGAGAGAAAAGGGAAATCCTAACTGGGCGCTGATAAGAATGCTAGGAGGGAACAGAAAGCAGAGAGGACACTGCAAAGCAGGGAAAGCAAGGAAATCCCCTTCAGATATCTGCTTTAACAAAAAGGTTTTATTTGTAGTGTGCAGCCTAAGTGACCGGGCAAATTCAGTGACATTAAGGACAAAAAAGGTAACTATACTGAATGATACTAATTGACAAAATGAGTTCTGTGGAGCAAGGGAGATCTGTAAATCAAATCCAGAGCAGCTTGGTAAATCTGCATAGCAAACAAGCACAGAGGCAGCACTGACAGGAATCCCAAAACAAAATTCAGAGGAATTAAATGGAGCAGAGGTGTTTCTGCTAATGCTGATGGGCTACAACTTCATGTTCTAGTTTACAATTCTATCAAATATTTTGCATGGTCAAAGAGACACGGCAAACTCAAATGCCCAGCGTAAAGCATTAAGGCAGGCCTCACTTTGTGACTCTGCCATCTCCTGTTGCTGTGCATTACCTCCCGCCGTTTCGCACTGCCTTATTGAGGCAGTAATATTTCCAAAGGATGTGAAGGGCATTGAACAGATTGAAAATCTCAAAGCATCGAGGCATTCATTTCTTTAGTCGATCAGTGTGAACTATTTTCCATTATCTCAGCTTCTTGTTTCTGAGTTTCTATCAGCAAACAGCAGAAAATTACACCTGTGTAATTTCAGGAACAACCAATGTGACGTCGGCACAGCACACAGCGTCCTGTCCCACGGCGACAGACTGCTCCTGTTTCTGTATTTATCTGCAGCACCTGCTGCTTTGTGCCAACAATTGGTTGGCCAGCAGATGAACGCCCCGATGGAATTCCATGGCCTTCCTACTTCCCGTGCCCCTGGATGCAACGCCGTGGAGTTTCTTGGTTGTTTACTGCACTCATAATCTTTGCCTTCCGGACAGTCTTTGCTTTCATATTCTTCCATACTCACTCAAAACAAGCCTCAACGTTTTAAGTTTAAAGGTATTTATCTGCCTTCTGCTCTCCCTGTAAGACCCTAATTTCAAGTAGGTTTAAAACAAATGTAATTACGTTGCCTGTCTGCAATCCAAAATTTTATCTAGGCTAAACTCCAGTAGAGCTAATTGGCTTCAGTGGGAGACTTGTCTGACTAAGAAGGGCAAGATTTGGCCTCAAAGAAACTATAAATTCCAGTTTAAAATTCAGTAGTAGTACAGAGGCTCGCTCCTGTGACAGCACCATTCTTCGTGTTTCCTTCCCTGAATTCCTTTCCTATTCATAGTAGGAAAGCTTTCTGGCATCAAAATCAAATGATAATATCCTGGCCACCTCCCAAAATCCCGTTGTGTCTTGTGGAAAGCATCATTGTCTCCGCTGCTTTGAACGGGAGTGTAAATCCTCCAAGACATTGGATTTCTACCTTTTTTTTTTTAGGAAAGGCCATTTCTTTTCATGTGTGCCATAAACAGGTCCCGATAAGCAGCTGTGACCCTGCCAAATTTACCGGTTGCTTTAGATGATGTAATAAGTACTTAAGCTTCCAATAAATCCACACTGCAGCATTTAAGGTATTCTCTACAGCTGTGTAAGGAAACACGATGCTGTGCAACAACTACTGAGGGAATTTTGCCTGCTCCACATGAGCAGCACTACTTATCTACAAGTGCTGCACAGGAATCCCTTCCCACTACTGCCCATCTCCAGTCCTTCTCAGAAGCTGTGGCCATACTCCTTTCTTGGTGTAATTGCCTTTGTGGTAAACACAAAGATTTGGGGAGTACGTTGTCCAAAATGTAAGTAAAAACTTAAACACAGCCTAGTTCAGCACCTCAAGAGATATTTCCAACTGCAAGCCTCTCTAACAAAGCAGTCCCACAGTTTTTTGCAACTGTTCAGAAAAAAACCTTTTTTCTTTGTATCTGAGATCCCAAACGTTTCCAATTCTTACAAATGCTTCAGTTGCTGAATTATATCCCCATTTTCTCAAGATCTCCTTGGCAAAGAAATCGCTCATGTTGTGCTTCCTGTAGGTCACCAAGTGCCTGCTGAGCAGCCTTAAGGGGAAAGAAGCCTTCCCAAACTGATGGCTCTGCACTGGGGATGTTTTAGCTGTGGTCCCCCCGGTCTCGCAAGCCACTGGATTTGTTCCACCAGATGGTCTCAGCTACTGTAGAATCAAGAGCTCTTCTCACCTTTAAAACTTGTGACAAATCAATTAGCATCCAGTAAGCCAAATGCATCAGGTACCACTGTTCAAGGGAACACGGGTCTCCTTGTAAAGCCCCGGCTCTAAAAACTCTGCACTAGCACTAGAACAAAAGTGCAAACTGATGAAGTGTGCGTGGAAAGGGGAACCGAGACGCCATGCTCTGTTCTTACACTTCTCACAGACTAACGATGCTATCTCAGCCACCTGCATCCACGCTTGGCTCCAGCTGATGTGATTCACTATTTTCCAAAAGGGCAGAGATGGACAGATTCTGAAATCAGATGAATACACTGCACTGATGATGTGACATTCCTCGCTCGGCCCACACTCTCCCAGTGACCAGATACATGCAGTGATGCACAGCAGCTACAAAACAGATTTGCTCCAAGGCAGTCATCCGACATCACTGTGAGACAAACTTACACAAAACAGGACAGAATAATCCTTAATCTTCTGGGCTGTAAATGTGTTGAGATCTCGGGTGTTCAGCCATGCTGCGAGCAAATAAGAAGTGCAAAAGAACCTGTGAGAAGACCCAATTTTCATTCACTGCACCTTCTGTTCTAACATCCAGGACAGCTGTGATGAAAGACATTTGTGAAACCTGGAGTTCGGGGGAGAACTGCTGTGTGATTTTCTTCACTGGTACGTTTCAAAACATCTCTTCATACAGTATTTGAACTACATACAGCAGGCTCTAGAGATAAACCAGGCTTCTACAGTAAAGCAAACTCTTTGGAAGCAAATTGCTTGAATTCCTCCACATTAGCTTCCATCAAGATCAAAACAAGATCAAACTCGTAAAAAATAGCCATTTTAATGAGATTTTAAACTGAAAAGTAAAGATACAACATTAGTCAACCTACACCGCTGTCATTTTTCCCCGCATCGAGTAACTCTGTCTCCTGATGGAGTTCACACTAGGTACCTCCCATGAAGCACCTATGAATGAAACTGCTTGATGAAACTGATGATCAGACTGAAAAACAGTTAAAATCAATGGGACACTAAACGATCTGACACTTCCACCTTGTAGAGCACTGTGAGAGTGGAGCAGTCTGTGTCCAAGCACCTTTCCAAATGCTAAGCAATGATTCAGAAAGTGGGTCATTAACACATTTTGTCATCTTATGCAATTTTCCCCTCCCCATTTACTGGGCTTTTTTCCAGGCCCAGTAGCCAACAATAAATCAATCAGTGTCTCCTAAGTGTGTTGACTTAGGTTTTATCCCATAAGTTGGGTTAAAAACAGAGTAGAAATCGCTGCAGGAGGTGAGGCATGAGGGGGCTAGTGGTGACTGCTGGTAAGGAGATGTTTGCCTGACCCACAGCCATTCTTATTGCCATTCTTTGTGGACTCCTCTTCATTATCCGTTACAGAATCTTCTTCCTCTTCATCACTCCGGTCATCTTTCAAGTCCTATGGAGAAGAAAGCACCATGAGCACATTCTGTACTTGCAGTATTTACTGTCAGATAAGTTGCCAGATTGCTATTAGTGCAATCAAAAGGCCTGTGTGTTCCACACAAGCAGGTTACTTCTTACAATCAGAACTGTGTGTCTGGATCTTTACGAAGACTTTGCAAAAGCAGTCAGTTAGCTTCATTAGTCAGGAGCTCCCATTTGTAATTGCAAGATGAAGAGATGGTGCAGAGGAGTTTCAGAAAATGGAACATTCTGCCTTCTTGGAAATTTCCCTCATCCTCTGAAGACAGAACTCCTCAATTTCTTCAGAAGGTAATGCGTGAGAGGAAACAGATGAAAGGGAGTTCTCAATACGAGCCCCCCAGGCCACCTCCCAAGAAGATGGATGTGATGCTGGAGGACAGGCCAGCTAACCAATTTAATCTCACAGAACCTAAAGTTCCTCAGACAAAATTACCTCTGTGGGCCTGGCCCGGCCATTTGACCTCTTCCTGCTTGTTTTTGCTTTCCCTTGTAAAGCATTACTAGTAATCCCTGGGTGCTGTGGGATTAATTAACGATCGTGAAGTGTGGGAAAGATGAAAAGAGTATTGTATAAAAGCTAAACATGATGAATGGTCTCACTCAGACACAGTAGTTCAGAGGCTGCCTGCTTCTGACAGGTGTAAACTAAACAGTGACTGGCTGTGCCAGCATCTCCTGGTATTAACGTCACTCAGAGAGACTTACTGACCCTAAAATGCTGTATATATCATGCCAGTGTTTGTAAAGGGAAAGCCATGTCTCTACACAGCTTTGGGTACACCTATACATCTTTGACATATCATCCTGCTAAGGGAATTGCCAGGGATGAGGGGATGGTTGTTTTGTTAGCAGGGATGAAAGGGGGGCCAGAGGCAGCCTGTCCTTGAGCAAAGTAATTCTGTGCAATTTGCATGGTACATAACATATCCCATTCCTCTCTTTTATTTCTCATTTTCTACTATATCACAAGACCTTACAGCACGTTCAGGACTTTGGTCCAAACAATCAAGGCTTTGGTATTTAAACCAAACTCCCTGAAACAAGCTCACAAGAGCACTGCCTGCCTCACAGAAGGAGTGATAACTGCTCTGCTGCCTCCAGGTAAAGATGCTCTAAGTCAAATAAATGCTTCCTTCTGTCCATGTGGGTGACCAAGAGCAAGAACAAAGCAGGCACTTATGAAATCTCCCCTAACTCCCACAGTTTCCTATGTTTAGCAACCACCACCAGTGGCTTCTTTCTGTGACTTGACTCACGTCTCTTAGATTCAGTGCAGCATTTGAACACACACAACACTCCAGGAGAAAAAAGACACACACAGAACGCACTGCTCCTTTTGCTGGCTTTGAGTTTAGCAGCTGATAGACTCACACAAAGCCCTCTAGTTCTTGAACTGGAAGAGATGGGTAATCACAGTCTTCCCCTCCCCAGCATCTCACGATTTAATAGATGACTTCTCATTTAAAGTCAGGAGTTTCCTGTAGCCGAGGATCAGACCCTAACCCCTCACACTGTGGCTCACACTCTAAGCATGAACACCAGGGTATCCAGCATGTTCATGGAAATTCCAAACTTTAACAGCCAGCTATTGGTGGTGCCAACATTCACACACTGAGGACTGCAGGTTCTGTGGTGCCTTTTTTTCATGCACAGGTATTCGGCCTGTGGTGCTGGCTGATGAAGGATGATCCAAGGCTTTTTTTCATCACAGAGGAAGCTGCCTCTAGAGCCACGTGCTGGATGTGCCAGGTACATCAGCTCTCGCACAGACAATCTGCAGGCAGCCTGTACAGCTACACTGCAGACCACTCCTCTCTGGACAGATTTATTTTCCTTACCATCCATCCGGATCTCAACCTCACACAGGCTCAGACTGCATGCTCTTCCTGCTCCTGGAGCGGTGAGATGCAGAAAAGAGAAAGCAGTGTTGCCCTTCTATCTGCTCCCTGAATGAACCAGCGGCTTCACTTAGCCTGCTGGTCTGGAGGTCTTTCTTAAGCACCAAATTCATACAGAAAAAACAGATGACAGCTCAGTAATAACTCACCCCATTGCAATCTCATAACCCTTCATATATTACACTTCTAGTAAAACATATAGGACTAGAAAGAAAACTAAAGTTCCAACTGTCTCATCAGAAAGTATAAACCTCCTGGAGCTTTTCTTTTTCCTTTTTCATAACAGCATACAAAGGGTATCAAAACAAACAAATCTTATTGTAAGCACTGTAAAATAAACTTGGCATGCCATCAGTTAGAGAAAAGGAAAGACAGCCTTTCTCACACAAACAATTTATGAGGTTCTGCCTCTTTCAGATCACCTCTGTTACTCCTGCTGGTTATGTGTTTTGTATTTACAGTTAAAGACAAATGCCTGGGGTGGGGGAAGTTACTTTTTTGCCATCAGAAACATTTCAGTAAAAAGTGCAAAGCAAAGCAAAGCACACAGCAATGCAGCATCTGCTGGACTCCCCACAAGTATTCTCATCTCCTTGAGCATTCTCCAGCTGCAGCAGAAAACACACGGGATGACAAGGGGAGGAGTGCTTTTGTGCTCAGTGCAAGTGGACTTGGAGTCAATAATGTTCTTGAAATCATAGCTCATTTGGAGCACCTTGCTGTGGCCTGCAGAAGTTGATGGAACTCGAGAATGTGCTTAACTGGCAATCTGCTTTACCTTGAGTGGTAGCTGATATGACACTGACTCCTGTCTTCTATAGGAATGACCTGGTATTTCCAGCATGGAAGTGGAAGCTCAGGTAGGATTTACTTTCCAGGTTTAATACCGTCAGCGTGGTTGCTATCATAAAAGGCACAATGTGTAATAATTAAAAACATGTAAACATTACCATCCAGCACACTGGAAATCCTTGCATTTGAGACGATCTCTTATTTTGAAGAAGCAGGAATTGAATTTCTTTGTCGTCTGAGACAATCATTATGGAGCAAGTTTGTTTTTATCAGGGCAAGAGTTCTGAATTCTAATACGGATCAAGAATAAATGCTGCTAAATAGAATCTACATTTTGTTTCCTTCAGTCACAACACTGCTTCCTCACCTGGCCCCTCTGAAACCTGCTTTGGAAGAGTCTGGCTGTTTTTGTTTACCTTGTTTAAGCAAGGGGAATGCAACAGAAGTCATGGTAGAACAGAACTTGACATTTCTGTAGTTTCATCTGTAACTGCAAAACCAAATAAACTTGACGTTGCAAACTGTGTAGCACAGCATTATAAGCATATTAAGACACCAAAAATAAAGTTTGTGGCCCGACCTTCTAAGAATGAAAAAATACGTAGCATTTCTAGGGTTCGGCCTTGCTTTAATACTAAGATGTTTTCTCTGACATTCTCACATCTAAGTTAGCGCTGTGTTTTCCAGCACAACACTGTGCTGCCTGTCCCTGAGCAACAGATGAATATATCACCAGAAACACAAGAACTGGAAAACTGTAAATGCAACTGAAGCCATCAGTAATACTCAGTGCTTTGGTTTAATGGCACGAGCTGAATTTATTACACTTTAAGTGGTTTGAGGTAACAAACAAAATGGATGTGCATATTTTATGTTCTGGATGACTAACCAATTTAATCTTTCTAAACGGATGAATGGTTTCAAGGTTTATGAGAAGCAACACTAATGCTATAAAGTCTGCAAGAGAGCCATTTGTAGTGAAGCCAAAGCTGCAAACTTTTATAATCTTTTTCCTTTTGTTTAACCCTTCCACCTGCTGCTCAGTCTGCCTCTTTTAGTTAAATGAACCGTACATGCTAAGGTAGTTTTGGCTTCTTGCATTTCACTTCTGCTACAGTGTGCATCATTCAAGCCATTAGCACTGCATCTTATTACACAAACAGGAACGGATCTTCTAAGAGGATTCACCAAGGAAAAAGGCTTGAAATCAAGGTAGAGGTAAACTTAAAAGGCTATTTCCCAGCCTCTTGTAGGCAGAACAGCATTGGTCGAATCTCAATCTAAACTAACTTTGCAAGAGTGTCTCTCAATAAAGCATTCAGAAATCACTTCCCTCTGACAAGCTTTGGTGCTGATCTCTTTCTACTACAGCTGCTAAGAATGCCGGGAGAAAGACACAGCAGTGCTGGAAGGCAGACAGCATTGCAGCTTCGTGCTCCCATGTGCTGCTGCTAACATCTGGTCCTGAAGCTCACTGGGCAGACACCATCCTTCTCTCCTGCTCTGCCTCACTGAGGCACCCGGCACCTCCATCCATGGGCACGATGAGATACGCAGCCATGGCTTTGGATCTGCTACTCAGTAGTTAGAGTGAAAAGTGTTAAGAGCAGAGGGAAAAAAAACGTGCCAAACAGTATAAAAAAAAACAGGCAAAAAATATATGGTAGCAACATGGATTGATCCTACAAACAGTGAGGAAGGCTTAGCAACATGCCTTCTACGTTCTCAGAAGGGACGGGGCACTTAGTAGCAAATGCACTGTTAGCTCCATGCGGCGTAGTACAGCCCATCAAGTGGAGATCTCAACGTGTCAGCAGTTCCTAAAAGGACACACTGCAGAACAGACAGACCCTCTGAAGCATCGCGTTGAAGAATCTGGTAACCTTGCACGCTTTTGCGGCACATTCAGATCCGAGCAGAGGAGGTTTCTGCAAGGAAGTTCAGCTACTATATTTTTTTCATCCAGCTTTCAACCTGGCCTCTCCAGCACGTACTTTTTGGAGGCATTTGCAATAGCTTAATTTGGCACTATGAAGGCAAAGTCTCTGCTTTACAAATTCATGGTGCAGGCTTGGGCGTATCATGGGGGGAATGTTTGTTCATCTCCTTGTTCATCTGAACAGAAGAGAAGGATGATAAGAAGGCTTGCTGTGCCATAAGTCATGCACCACTGGGCAGGGACATGCCTTCAGCCTGAACTGGCTACAGCTAAAGCCATCAGGAATCCCTCAGTAACTTCTGACCAACTCTCTGAACGACATCAATCTCAGCACTGTAATAC